GGGGGGGGGGGGGGACGCGGCGAAAAACCCACTCCGTCCGTCCAACGCAATGAAGCAAAACAGTTTAAAAAAAAAAAAAAAATGCACACGTCAGTGTTTACAGCGGGACGCAAACTCACCAAGTGTCCAAAGTAATCCCAACTGTGATTAGAAACGATGCGTCAAACTTTTGACTGTGCCATCCTGGCTGTGCGTGAGATCAAGTCCGGGAGGATTGATAGTTTTGATGCGGTCTGTCGCTTTGCGCGTCTCTCCGTCCTTCCACTCCGCGTCTTTCTTTTTCTCTTTCTGTCCCTCTAAGTTCTCTCTGATTGATACTCACTTCTGGAGGAGTTTTTTTTTCTTTCAGACGAAGGGGGGCGGCCCTCCTGCGCCCTGTCAAACCCGCGCATCCAATGAGAAGTGAGGAAAGACTATGAGACAAAGTGTTTCGTCCAATGGCAGCGGAGGGAGACGCGCGTCCTGGAAGATGATCCTTCATCCGGACTGCAGCAGCCTGATGAACTGACTCCATAATGCAGCCTATGGAAAATATATTAACGTATTATTTTATTTCTCATTATATCTGCTGCACTCGTTGGCCCCTGCAAACTGAATAATAAAGTGATCAAAACATTTATTGACCTCACCAGTCTCCCTTCTTTGACACCCAGATCCCTCAGCTTCACTCCACTTGCCCTCTGAAGGTTGATCATCCAGGTTTGGGACTGTCAGCCGAGGCCGGTGAGAGGCCCTAACATCCCAAAGTCATTTTAATGTCTTTTCACCAAGTGTGTCTGAGCCGCTGATTCCATCATTACCAGGGATTGTAGGAAAAGTCACATTACAGCTTCATTGTGTCGCCCAACAGCTGAGGAGGCAGAGCAGAGCCGCAGCAGGACAGGTGGGCTGATCTCAGGGCTGCGGGGAAAAGGAACGAGAAGATTAGCAAGGGAAGGTTTGTGGCTCTGCTCGGTTTATGGAGCGCTTATTCCAGCGGATCTGCGGGTCGGTCACAGCAAAATATATATTGCGGTTAATATATAAATAGTGTGTTTAGAGGGAGATCATCCAGGAGCGGATATAAGGATTTTCGATTCAAAATTCAGGCTTGCATCATCGGCCTGTCATCTATTTATTCTTTTAATCTATTATTAAATGTCATTTATTATCAGTCATTACATTTACTCACAATAAAGCCAAATTCTGTCTCTAAAAAAATAGTAATATAACTAAATTAACTTGAAATATCATCTAACTTTTAACTCAAGAGCAATTATTCGATTAATTAATAATCAATTCAGCTATTTTTTAAAATCGTTTGCCTTTAATGTTGGTAAAAACTAAATATTTCAATTTGGGTCGAATGCAAAGAAGATTGATTTCTAACAGCATTGCAAGTAAAAATATAGCTACTGCAATAAATAACTGCTGTTAATAGGAAAATAAAAGAATGCCAATAATCATTAAATATTAGGCTTATCATACTAATATTAATATTACTAATATTACTAATATTACTAATACTAATATTACTA